GCAGGCAAGCTACCTAGGTAGGGTTCAACCTTAGAGCGGTCCCGCTTACCAAAGGACGCAATCAGTCCAGCCACAGCGATGGGATACGCGGGTTGACTGGTGACAGAGCTTCTCGAATGCAGTGCCTGCGACGGACAAGTCATCGGCGTCGGTTGACTTCAAGAGTTCATCACCAGCACCTTGCAGAAGCGAGGCCGACTGGGTGTCGGATTTTTCGTTCCAGTACTTTATCGCCTTGGCCAACTCGGTAGTCGCACAACCAGCCCGGCGTTGGTTTCGGTATAGGGCCACGGCCAGGGCGACAAGGCCGGCAGAAAAACGGACATCTCCTTGCTTCTGCCCTTCCAATTGTGTAAAGAGAGCTTCAAGAAGGGACACAGCGGCTTCGTAATTTTTGGCGAGGACGTGCAGCTGGATTGCCGTCAGCAAGACGCCAACATCGGCGGGGTGTCGCTCTGCCGCAGGCAAGACATCACGCAGCGACACTTGGCTGCTGTGCTCTAATGAACGAGCAGCCACGTTGATGACCGACAGAACATTTGCATCGGAGCTGGCTGTCGACGATGGCGAAGATGCGCTAATCAAGTGTTTCGTTTGACGAGCAACACCCGAGAACTTCTGTGCACGTAGGGCAAGTGCCAGTTTGTTCCGTCGTAGCCGACTATCCTGATAGTGAAAGAGTTTGGCGTCATTTGACACGGCTGGATTTGCCTCGAGAGTACGCTGGACTGCGAACGGGTTGCTTGCGGTGTTATCCAGCGTGGAAGCGTTGTTCGTCGCTACGAGCCGTGCTTCAGCGTCGCTGATCCTGCGCAAGCGAGTTAGTCTGGTTATTTCTGAGGTAGGAGGAACGACAGAAACTAAAGAACGTACTCGGAAGCTTCCAGCTGGCGGTGTAGCTTGAGAGCCTCGGTAGTGTTGCCCAATCTCGAATACACATATGCCTGTTGAATTAGGATCGGTGCCATCTCTGCTCGCTTTTCCTCATCGGAGAGGTCATCAGACTCATCACAGAGACGACTGGCGCGCTGTAGGAGACTCGAGGCCTTCGAAAGCTCTCCGCGGGCGATGCAGCCGCAGGCCAGGTTGTAGGCGAGCTCAAAGGTGTCCAAGGCTGGAGCGACGGGAGGTTGTACGAAGCCGCTGGTCAGCGCAGCCTGCGACTGCCAGTCCCTCTGAGCAGCTGTAGCCAGGACGTTGATGCTCAGGTCGCTCTCCTCCTCTGCAGCAGCGGCCTTGTCAGATGCTAGCTCATCGTACAGTTGCCTCGCGTCTTGGAATCGTTCAGCACGATAGGCGACTTGCGCAGCAACGTGGCTGAAGCTACGTCCAGTGGTGGATGCCGCAAGCGAAGCAGCATCGTCCAACTTTCCCGTCTTGTAGAGAGCATAGGCCTTTTCTAGCCGGCAATCGGCCTCGAGCGTGGCGCCGCCGTCGGCAAGGGCACGCAGGGCATCCTCAAACCGGTCGAGCTTCAGAAGGGCGACGACCCTGGTGCGCTGTGCGCCAGTGTCGAGCTTGGAGATTTTCAGAGCAGCATTGGCGGCGCGAAGAACTTCCTCGTGGTCGTCAATGGAAGAGGCACGCAGCAGCGATGTGAGGTTTGCGGCAGAGTCGGGAGCCATCGCGTCGAGTGCTGTTGCTCCCAGCAAAGTGAGGGGTCGTTTGTCCGAGATGAACTCCCAAGGGGGGTAGCGTCAGTTGACGGATGAACGAGCAATTGGTGTTGACAATCCAACACCTCAATGTCCCCGGCTAGTTCTTGGTGACCGGTTAGGATCAGGCGGCATAAAAGCGGCGTGGTGAGGTGGTGGGCTGTGGTGTCTTCTCGACTTACTTGGCTTGGGTCAATTACGTGAGGCGAAGGATGGTCCAGTCCAATACAGGCCATACGACGTCGAAGACGAATTTCAGGTCTCGTGTGGTGGCTTGCACCGATCTATGGTGGGGCAGATGAGTCTCTCTGAGCTTGACGATCTTGCCAGTTGGCAAGGCTTCATGCCAGCTGCCACATTTCTTAGGCAGACACAGGAGCAAGAAACGCAGTGAGCGCGGCCAGGGTCCATCTACCTCGTTACGTTGCTTCACGTATAGCACGCACGGGAATGGACGACGCACAAGATCGATGGATGGGCTCATGTACAATTCAATCGACAACGCAGCTGGGGGAAGTTGGTCGATATGGTCTCAAGCAAGGTAACGTGCCTGGCACGTTCATACTTTGGGACTACCTCTCGTGCCCCGAACCCCCCCACTACCTATCCAAACAGTCCCCAGAACTTCTTTTCTTTGCCATCTGAGCTTCGTTTGTAAGGACGCAGAGGGAACGTTGGTTCCTGATCTGACGCTTGACGGTTTTGATCGCGGCTCGTTGTTGATCTGACCTCGCCGAGCTTGGTACTCGCCGACGCCATGGTAGATGAAGAATTGCGCTTCTTCGTCTTCGCGTGGTTATGGGTGCGGGCACTGGGCGATCGCACCTGCCCGTGACTGGAACTGGTTCTGCTCGAATGATGTGAGGATGTCCCAGACAGGTTTGATGCTACTCGCCGCCTGGGGCGAGCCGACGGCGCTAGTCGAATCGACATCTCATTAATAGCCCTGACTGTGTCGATGCAAGACGCGGTTGACAGTGACCTCAAGGATGTATAATCCAGGTTCGGGTGGCCGTTGCGGCTCGCGGTCACTGCAGGCACTCGAAGCAGACGCGCCATGGCGTTGGTCAGGCGCTTGATGGCCCTTCTTACCGAGGAGCGTGCAACGGCTGAGTATGGACGACATGTTGGTTAGCACAGGACTCACCGGAATGATCGCGATGGAGACGTCTGGGGTTCGGCGTTGGCTAAGAGTGTATCGACTGAACTTACCATCGCCCTTGTCTAATTGTCCGCCGAGGAGCGACAGTTGGGAGGTGTAGGCTTGGCGCACCTGGGTTCGATCTGCACGGATGGCTTTACGGAGGCGCGCAGCTTGCGCTGCATCTTTATCGGACGAATGGTCGCGTGGGTTGATCCGCTTGAGGAGCAGAAGACATTGAGAATACGTCTCTAATAAGGAATCCACGGTGGACCCGAATCGACCCATGAGGAAGGAAATGGGCAGGGGACGGGCGGGCTGATCAAGAGCAAGGATGGTGTCTCGGAGGATAGCAGACAGATACGGGACGAGGTGCGGTTATCGGACACCGTGAATCGCAAACCTCGTCCTAGACGAAACAAGGCGGGCGCAGAGACAGGGAGAGGAGGCGTGCCCACGCCCGCAGCCTCGGCCCTGGGCTGGCTGACCAGTTTTGAGCGGTTGGTACAGAGTGGCTGCTGGAGCGCGGTAAACCCCAAACCGGCCCCTCCCCCTCCCCTTCGCCCCCTGCGTTTCCGTTCCCCCCACGGCATCGGCAAGGTGTTGGGGCACATGGACTGACACCTAGATGATTGCGAGCTGATAAGTCAACAGACCGAGCAGGAGGTACCTGGCTGGGCGACCTGGGGATGTCGCGTCGGGTCTGGCGGCCACTGTACCCGGAGAGTCGGCCACACTTCAGGCAAGTACCTAAGGTACCAAGGGACCTACCTGAATTAGGTACTTTCAGGCGGGTAGTAAGTACCCTAGGTAGATGGGTAAGGTAGGGAATGCAGTGAGTGAGTGGAATGTCCAAGTCGGTGAGTGATGAATATCAAAGGGCTCAGCAGAGTTCCCTGCTCCGCCCACCTCTCTTATCCCTACCATGCATGGCATGCCTATTGAGGGCTTTGAAGTGATTCGCAAGGTCCCTAATGGTGATCATGAGGTACCTTAGGTACCGCAGGTCTCCGCCCCTGGTGTCGCTGTGTCAGACCGACTGTGTGCGACCTGTTAGACTGGTACAGTCGCTGTGGGTGTGGCTCGAGATGCGGGCGTTATGGACTGAGTCGCGGGACCATGCAGGAATCATCGGTATTGCGCGACATGGCACCTTGATGATGGAGCCCCTCCACTGTGGTCCAACGTTTAAGGACCCTAGGACCCCTGATCATTCGGGGCCGCCCTATTGGTCTGCCCAGCATCTCCCACCCTCGAGGTGCCGTATGATACGAAAAGACGAGGCCGGTACTGACTGAGAAAGGTACACAATGTGCTGAGAGGAGGAGGTGCGGTTTAGGTCGGGAGGTGTTGACAGTAGCGCCCGTTCGGGCCGTTAGCCAGTGACTGCCCACGCTGCCACGTTCCGCGCGCCCGCACACCCACGTCTTGTCCACATCTTTGCCCACGCTGTCTCCCGCGCCCTCTCCCGCGCACTTGTCCAGTACTTGACTAACACTGACGGCATCCCCGTCTTTCCCGACCTGGACTTGGAAGGCTTTTCTCGCCCCCTTGTGCGTCCTCGCCATCCCTCGCTTTGACTCGCCTACCGTACCGTCAACTCGGCTCAAGGGGCCGCTCACAGACTGCCTTGGACTGGAGACTGCAGATTGCAGACTACGGGCCGATCGCTCATCTCCCGGCTGCATCGCGTGCTTTTTCCCTCGCTCTTTGCCCTCTCACTCTCTTTCGCTCACGTAGTCACTCACACGCGCCCGCTCTCTATCACTATCTCGCCATCCCGCCTTTTCCAACATCTCTCATCTCCTCCGCAGCCTAGCCAACGGTGCTGGCTGGGAAAAAAAAAAACGCACAACGCTCTCTGAAACTGAAGAGGGGGGATATTCGCCTGTTCGTGCTGCTGACACTGAATTCTGGGCCAGAAAAGGGCAGACTCTGGACACACACTCTCTCTCATGGACCTCAAGCTCTCCCATCGCGTCTACTCATCCTCATTGCCCTGCCCTTTGATTCTTCGCCGCTTTCTGGAGAAACCCCACTACCATGGACCAGCCACCGTCGCCGCCGCCTCTGGACCGCTCGGCGCTGCCTGAGGGCCAGTGTCGATACATACTTCTCGTGCCCGGCATCAAGGGTCAACGCTGCGCCTGCGCTCACTTTTCGCATAACCAGTCCACACCCGGCGCCACATGTGACTGTGGCCATATGGCTTGCTACCACGTCAAAACAGCCGAGCAGCCGGCGGAGAAACGTGAGCTTGATCTGCTCAAACAACGCCTCGAGGTCGTGGAGCGCCAGCTAGACCGTGAGCAACAGGGCGCGTTTGGTAGTCTCGTCAGCAGGCTGGGCGAGTTGGAGGACCGTCTTGATAAGACGCATGACGAGGCCACCCAGGAGATTAGGACATCATACCGAAACATCAACCGCGTTTGGCAGTCGGTGGAGCTCCTTGAACAACGCTGTCTGCAGCTTCACGAGGCCATGCGTACTGAATCAACACGAGTGACCAAGATCGACCATCAGATGAGATCCGTCGCTGATCGCCAACTGGAGCTGGCGGATGCTGATCTCAGCCTGGAGGAGAGGCTCGACAGTCTAGAGACACATCACGTTCCGGTTTCGCCGACGAGTCGAGCCTCCACGCCTCAGCTTTCCCATGCTGCCCAGAGCTCCGTGCCTGCAGAAGCTAAGAAGCCGACCCCTCCACCCATTTCCGTTGATCGAACCCCTGCCGCCAAAGGGACCTCCGGACCCTGGACAGTTCACATCTCTCTATTGCCTTCATCCTCACAACCATTCCCTTTCGAAAGAGACACAAATGCTTACAAGCGATGCTTGTCACGCGGGCTGCACCGCACCGTCGTTGTGGCTGATGCGGACAGTCATTCCTTTTGCGCTGCCGTCTCCACCGCTTTCGACGCTGTCCTCAAGGGCCGCCCATGGATGCCGCTGAAGGCCAAGCTATGCGACGCAACACAACTGAGAGGGTTACCCATGCTACGCCCGTTGGGCAAGAAGTTGGCCGATGCGCAGTATGATCTCGATTTCTTGCGGGAACACTGTGCAGTGAGCGATAGTAGTGGCAACGTCGAGTCGCTGTACATCGCGATGCGCCACGACACTCTCTCCTGGCACTTTCTACGCAGGTCGCCCAGATTTCTCGACGGCCTTGAGACTTGCTGGTCATTCGACCCATACCTAGACCCAGATGACGCACAAGAAGACGATGACTTGACTTGCGACAGCCGTCCATCGGCGGGGCACATTATGCCACAATTATCATCCTTGAAGCGACGGGCGTCGGATGCGACGCAAACCTCCGTCTTCGGGTCTGCCTCTGTGGGAGGTGAGGGCGAAAACGCGCGGAAGAAGATGACGATTGTCTCCTTATCCACAATCATAGACCTTCCGAGGCGTGTCGAGAAGGTGTAGCATAACGCAAAGACGTTAAGGCCACTCCGTTGGACTAAGCTCCAAATGTTGCGATATGATCATATAGAGTATAGAATTATAGACAAAGAATTTGCCACGCAACCCTGCAATGTTGGTGCCGAGTTCATCAACAACGATGCGCCGCAAGCGGGAACCTGGCAAAGCACATGCAGATTGAGATATACCTGTGATGAATGATGTTTGTGGATGCAACAAGCGCGAGATGCTTATGCCTGCATGCTCTCGAGGACAGGACAACATAGGTCCCGACTTTTTTATCATTTTCAGATACAGTGAGTGCTGCCCGCCTGCTTCTCCAACCAGCTAGCTACCTGGTTGTTGGTCAATTAGCTCCGGTAATAAGTGGAGCAACCCGTCTTCGCGAGGAGACATGAACAAGACAACGAACGGTCCATGCGGCGCGCTCACATCTTACTTACCCCATCGAATTGGCGAGGCTTGAGACCTCTAGAACGTGTGGCTGCTCCTTCTCCCACGTCAGTGACCGATAGGTTCAGATCTCAGACTTCATCCATGAGCGTTGTCGATTATCCTCTCTTCCTCTTTCAGAAACCAGGTGCCAGACGTAACGCTTCAACTATTCCCTTCTGCGACTGAAACCGCGCAGCGGTCTTGCCGGCCATACATCCCCTTAGCAAAGGAAGCCAGCCCGTTGCGACTCGACACATTCCTTGACATTTCTAGCAGACCGGCCAATCGCACGCAGGTGGCATTTCCCAAATCACCCGACCCCAAGGACAGCACCACTTCTCGACCATCTTGGACTGCATTTGCGGCAAGCGCTTCTCACCATGGACTTCGACATGGTGATGGAGGACGTGGCGGAGAGCCCGACGCGAACTGAAGCTGCGACTGATGATCAGATGGTATTTCCGGCACCTACAGCTAGCCCCTCTTGAAGCGTATGCTAACCCACATCCTCCACCAAGGTCGCGCCAGCGTGGGATGCCGCGCATGATGAGCCCTTTGCCGACAGCGAAAGCACAACCATTGTGCCCAACAAGGTTCACATTCGAGGACTTGACACGTTGTCGACCGAAGATGTCAAAGCTTTTGTCGAAGACCACTTTGGACGGGTAAACAAGGTTGAATGGATCGATGACGAGTCCGCCAACTTGGTGTTCCAGTCCGAGGATGCGGCCCAAGATGCGTTGCGGGCTCTGAGCGCGCAATCAGAAGCAGCTGCCCAAGCCTCTGCTGGGGAAACTGTCCCGGCGAAGGACATACCTTCCAAACCCGAAGTCAACTTGCAGATCCGAATTGCACTGCAAAGTGATAAGAAGGCGCCGGGGGCGGCTACTCGGAGTCGTTATTACTTATTCCACCCTGATCAGGACCCCGAGGAAAGGAGACGACGCGAAGGCAGACGGCGATATCGTGAGCGTGATGATAATGGCTACCGTGGCCGTGACAGTTACGCTCGGGGTCGTAGAGATAGCGACGAGATTGAGGCATTCGACGCGAGCCTCTACGACGATGATGAAGCAACATTGGCGAGTCGCGCCGCCAAATCACGCACTCAGCAACGGAGGTCGCGCTCGCGAGGCTCAGCATCAGGGTTGAGTGGCTCAAGACGGACCAATGCCAAAAAGGAGCTCTTCCCTAACAGGTCATCTTTGGGTAATAAGGGATCAACGCGGAATCGGTCAGCTTCTCCGTTACGCGATCTACTTGACAGTCGCCCCGTGTATTGCATGATGCCGATTCGGGTACCTTGAGCAACAGAGCAACGGCTTCGGGCATTCGGCACAAATTGGCGGAGGAGAGGGCTGCGAAAGAGCTCTTCCCATCTAGGATACAAACGGTTGGAGAAGGACACATGGATCGGGTTGGCATGACGGAGAGGACGAGTCGGCTTTCGTTTGATGATGACGCCTCGAAAGCTCCTGACCTATTGTCAATTAAAGGAGCTGCAGAGCGGAAAGGACGAGATGCCGGGTTTGCGATCAAGGGTGCAGCGGGAGCAAGCGTTAAAGAACTTTTCCCTGATAGGTTTGGCACTAATGAAGGCAAGGAACTCTTTGTAAATAGACCTGGAGGACGTGGTCGCCAGCGACAGAAAGCTGAAGACCTCTTTCTCTAGTTGGTAGGGGGGCTGGCGCTACGGCATTGGACACTGAGACGTCACTTATGGAAAGTTGCTGGCGAAAGAGCAAGCATTGAACTTGGATAGGTAGGCACTACAGGGTCAAGACACATCTGGACAGACCTTGCGTAATTTCAGGCGTTGTCACTGACACGGCCCTGGCGCTACTCGTCCCTTCTGTCCACTCTATACTCCTCTTTGCTGATGAGAAGAATAGCCGATAATCGACAAGGAAGTCCAGGATCAAGTATATCGCTCGACCTCTTTCCTGCTATTGTTGCTGCTGCCATTGCTGTTTCATTGTTGCTCGTCTGTCACGGCAGGTGCAAAGCGTTAGAAGCATCATATGGTCTGCCTGCCAGGCCGCACTTTCCTCATCAGACAAGAAGTCGAGTTTTGTAATGTCTCCTACACGCCTCCTGCCCGCGCCCGAGTCCACCTTCGTTCGAGCCTGCGGAATCGACAGTCTCTACAGGCTGTCTTCGTTTTACCATCCTTGAAAACAATGTGATAGACGCAAACAATTTTCCTGTAGATGAGATCCCCTTTGGTCATCAAGGATTGCTGTGGCCTCCAAATTCTAGGACACAATGTCTGCTCTAGACTGGTTCCGACCCTGGCAACACTCCGGCGCTCATGAGCCAAGTAGGAACACTTGCACGTCCGACAACAGCAACTCAACGGCAGGTGCGTGCGAAGCCCGCCGACAAGCGACGACAAGCTTGTGCAATGGTGTCTCGTCTCTGAACATAGACCAAGAAAGAATGCTGAGGGCAGAACGAGCTTCGCACAAGGCGCGTCTTCCGCAAGCCCCTGCGGCTCTCGAAGAAATCGTCGACGACAGGGCACACGCCTGGCATCACCCAACCCTTGATCAGACTGTTGACATCCTATACACCATTATGATGACGAAATCGGTCTCAACACCGCTCCCGGTAGAGTTCGACCCACATGTTCGACATCTACTCGAAGGATTTTCGGGATTACAAACCTCCCTACACGAGACACAGCAATTGCTTGAAGAGGAGACTGAAACAAAAAGAAGAAGCTTGGACGAGTTCACGACAATGTCAATAGATTGGGGGAAGAAGGAGAGCGATTACAAGGCTGAAATCCGCCGGCTTGAGTTGCTCTTGGCCCGAGCTGCCCCCGAAGGTGTTGCGGCTGTTGTGCTTGCGAGATCCGGGAGCGTTGTGGATCGCAGCCTGGCCGAGTCAAGGCGGTTCAAGGCACGCATTCGTGACTTGACGGACGGCGCAGAGGATGATCCTATGCCCTCTCAGCATGCTCAAGCAGGCGCTGATGTCGAACATGGCGATGTCTGTTGCCCTAATGAAACAAGACTTCCAAGGAAGCCTCAGCGATTCGCATCACATCGCTCAATTTGTAAGTGAAATACAAACACGCCTGTTTGGACCGTTACTTTATAACAACTAACATGAGCCTGCTCAGTGACTATTCGGCAAGACTTGACCCCGGACGCCGATGTCATCAGCAGTGAGCGGCTTCGCCGCCACAGCCTGCGCCGGAGACCTGGCCAGAGACGACGTGCCGCGACGTCTGTCGTTAATGTGGGCAGTAGTTCACAAGAGCCTGAACTGCATCTGGGCCGCCGGGATGCAAACTCTAAACATCCAAAACCTGGGCTATGTCTGGGTCCGGGCACCGCGAAGCTTGACGACTTCTTACGTTCTCGCCTAAGCGATCACCTCGCGGCCGGTTCAGTGGCACTTTACTCATATTCGACGGATAAATTCGATGATTCGGACCGCGGCGAAGACGAGGACATCACGGAGATACACCATCGCCGCATTTTCTCATTCCAAGCTGGCGATGACAGGCTCCCGATGGTCAGCCACCGCTATACATCTCCAAGGAAACAATGCTACGACAATTCCGTCATCGATAGGCACAATGCAAGCACGACCTCTCTTTCAATGAGCCCAGGGAAACATTTACAGGGCGAACAAGTTGGGGAAGTGGCTGAGTCGACTGGATACTCGTCAAACGAAATGATCCCCGAGGAGAACACAGTCAGCAGCACTTACAGAAGAACACTGGCCTCTAACGGCAGTGACGTTCACGAGCAAACCCCAACTGAGAAGATTTCCTGCCAGGGCCTTGTCATGGCTCCCTGCAAGAACTTCAGATCTCCGCAATACCGCAATAGATCCACCAGCTTGCCCGAAGACATACGTGAGACTACCGGACGCAGCTCTCGGAGCGGTCGAAAGATCGCGGCACATACGATCTCTGAAGCATGTCAGAGATTGGCTCTACTGGACGTCGGCAGACAGTCCGGGGAACGGCCGAGCGTGAGCCGTAGCAGTGCAGCCTACACACAGTGATCGGTCTTGGGCACAAGCAAACACTGGACGGTATTTGACTTCGGCCAATTTGGTTGTCAAACAGCATCTAGGTAGAAGCCTAGCGCTGGTCATTGCGGGGCTGGGGGTCGGTCTGGTTGGAAGGAGGCGATGAACTCTACCACCAGCCAACACTCTAAAAACAAGCCAACTGAGTTATCGTTACACGAATCGGGGCATGATATTGACCCCCGAGGCTTGTGGAGAAGTATGAGTGGTCGGAAGCTGTGACGTTCAATAACTGAGCATCCGCATTACAAACGCCAGTTCAGCAAAAACCCAACATGCAAGCGGAGGTGCGAAGTGGCGTAGAGAAGGTTCAACTAGGGTGGCAAGCGCCTTGCAAAGAAAGTGGCAGACGTAAAATATCGATACCATGCCCCAACGGATGAAGGATGTAGTAGAAATGCAAGGCCGGATAACTGGATGGTAGGCGACTTCTGTTTTGGTGGGAAATGCTAGGGGATCTAGGTACCTAAGCACCACGTCTGCCACTTTTTTTGCAGGGCGCTTGGGTGGCAATCATCTTCTGGCAGCTTCCGTTGCTTATAGCTCACCGAAATTGCCAGCCACCTTTCTTCGTGACTTATTGCATTAACGAGTAGAATAAAAGGGGATAAATCTTTGGCCGACAGTGTCTATGCTGCTGCCGCCCAATGGAACAGTCGACGTAGGCGGCCAGTCCTAGCACAAGACCAGTAGATACCTATACCGATGCTGTCATGACCGTAAGTGGAGTATGCAACGAAAGTAAGGAGGGCTACGGCATTGGCATGGCCAAAGCCACTGTGGTCGCCCTGTGCAAGTCCTGCATTCGATTCTATTTATCTCTCCCTTTGCTTGCAGTTGGAACGGGTCAGGCAAGCACAGGCACCGAAGACGGAAGTTTCTAAAGTATTGGGGGCTCCACAGTTCGATGCCAGACGCGGTAGTCAACATAGACATCTGAATCCATACTTGAGTGTTGAACTGCAACAGACAAGGGAAGCCTTGAATCTGGAGGGAAGGTTAGACTGCGTGATTCGTACCAAATTCTATCCCTGATGTGTGTAAGTGGAACAAGCAGATGTATCGGAGCGCCATGGTGACGAGCCATTACCGGAACAATAACCCCCACCCCCACCTTTTTACCTTGCCGCTGCCAGTCTTGTCATGCCCGAGAAAGATCGGCTGGGCTAATCGGTCCATCCCTGTGTCATCACGACAAACGCGTCATTCACGGCGAAACCGCTGCGCTTCGTGGTCTAGACCCAGCCAAACCCAAGATACATCCTGCAGCACAACGTTGTCTGTTTTCAGCCCTGTGCCCGACGCAACCTTAGGTATCGATGCAGCAGAATTCAAGACAGTCCAATACACCACTGCTGCAACAGGTGGGTGAGCTTTTGGATTGCACCATTCACCATCTTCAGAGGCTACCGAACCTTCTTGCTACTTCACACCAAACCACAAATGGCTTGTTCGACGTCTATTTTGTTGCGCTGTAGCTTGCGTTCAGCCCTAACTGAAGAGCATGAGCAAGTGTTGAGCCTGCGATGCTTGTAATCACTCGTCTATTCGGCATCGCCTGATTTTATGCAACCTCTGGCAACGCCCGAAATGTCTCGTCAGTGCCAGCAACGAACTCTATTGTTCGTGGTCCAACATCGTGTACATCCTTGAATTGCCGTCTACCTTTACATTCCATGCGGACTGACCTTGCTCCCCGTGAGCAGTCGCGTGAACTGGCCATCGATGCCACGAAAGGGGTATCCTTAAACAAAATTGCGTGCCGCCTGCAACTATGAACATACTCTCGCATATCCAATACATACCCAACGAAAAGCCACTGATCGACTAGCATCAACAGAACTTAACGGTTGACAAGCTGATCTACAGTCATCCGTGAGTCCCTGTCTTCGACCGTGCCAAAAAATCTTCTGGACGAACGGTGATCCTCTGTTGGGGAACATGGTGCTGTAGGCAAATGAGAAGAACGCGCTGGCAGGTATGTGCCTGCAATGGTCACATCTCTGCTCTCCCCGGCTGTGTGAAGCAGCGAACCAACACCCGGCAGGGAGCGGGGAAGCGAGTCATAAGTAACGGCAGTTCGGAGAGGCGGTAGTTGTACTGGGGGGGAGACGCGTGTGTAGTGTTCGCGAGGCGATGTCGTGTAGCTTGATCCCGAATCTGACAGTGCAGTGTTATCAGCATCAAGTGCGTCGCTCCTGGGCGAGGCTGTTGAGCTTGGTGAGGGAAGAGATGAGCCATGCTGATGGCGTGAGTAGTTCCCAGAGCTGTGCGCAGGCGATGTTGGCGAAGATAGGTATTGAGTAGTAGAAGCATGTGGCATTGAACTAGGCCCGGGGTGAAGCGTGAGAGAGGGGCGATGTTGGTAGGGTCTTGGTGAAGAATATCGGCCGTCTTCATAGCTGGGTCGAGGGTGTGTGCCTCTTCTGCGGTCATGGCGTCTCCGACGGTTTTGGTTCCCATTCCACCAGTTCTTCACTGCGTTGTCGCTTCTTCCGGAAAGTCTTCGAGCGATTTCTGCCCACCGTTTGCCGAGCTCATTGACAAGGATTTCAATCTGTACACCCTCCTCGGCTGTAATGGGCTCGTGGTTGAGGGTTGGTTTCAAATTCTGGTGAAAGCGTTCTCTGCACTGCTTGGGTGTCCTGGTGCCTAGGGTTTGAGCAATTCGAACCCAGTTAAGAGGACCCTGCTCACTAACGAGCTGCATCAGACATGCATCCTCGTGTTGGGACCACGGACCCCTCCTTTGCGCCATGGTCATACACGAAGGCGGTTCTCGAGGATGAGTGATCGAGATCCGTGAAGTCGAGTGTGCCGAAGTGATCGTGTAACCTGACGAGTTGGCAGATTATTCGAATGATGGGATGCGAATGGCAGACCGATTCAACTCTGTGTCTGAATTGTGATAATAAATCTGTAGGGCTGGACTAAGCAGCTCTTTGACTTGCTCGAAGAACAGTCGGGTACGCAATTGGGTTCGAGTCTGCAGGGCAGCGGGATGAAGTGGGAGTCGCAATGTTAGAGGAGAGCAACTTCGGAATGACCTTGGTAGGGGTGGACCCGGACACAGCGCCAGGAGATGAAGCAGTCAGCCAAGTCAAAGATTGATCGAGTCCAGTGTTGTGACTGAGTTGACTGGGTGGTCGAGAGAAGCGCGTTAACTTAGGCCAGGAAGTATCGCTGGCGTCGAGTTTCAAAGAAAAAAAAAAGATAGACAGCTCAATGATATCGTCTGTTCAGATGTGGTGCTTATCTAAATCAACGCGGAGGCGTGGCGAGGTGGGTGGCCGGGAGTTAAGAAGGAGGATGGGAGTTTTTGTAAACCTACACAGTCCCTCAGTGTATCGAGTCCGCAACTCCCGATGAGCAGCATGCATCGAGACCAAGCGCTTCCAGCCATTCATGGCCGCGGCGCTGTTGATGGAAACAGAGGCTCGGTTCCGGAAGGGGGGGACCAGAGAGGTGGGGGAGAAAGGGGGGGGGGTGCGTCCACGCAAGGCGCCATGGAGATGGCCCCATCAGAGAGATCTCTACTACCGCCGAATTGGGCTACATGCACCATGTCCGAGGTAGTGCTAGCCCGGAATAAGTGGTCTGAGAGAGGCTTGCGGTATTGAGGCTTGAGGCTCGAGCCGCGAGGACTGCCCATGCCAGACTTGACCGGGGGTGACGAGACAGAGCGCTCCAGGCAGGAAAGTTCTGCTGGCGGCATAGATAGCAACCGGGGTAGCCCTAGTCGCTGGGGGGTCGACTGCGTGGCGCATGGCGCTGAGGTCTCAATTGTGTGTGTGTTCAGGCTTCCAGACTGTTTGTTCATTCATCCGTGACCAGGGCCTTGCCGTGCGGCATGTAAATTGGGATGGCGTGGGAATGCTACTGACTCGGCACGCCTGCCCACCAGCCTGTGTTTTTCACTCTTCGTCCTAATCCGTCAAGACATACCAAGCAAATGACAAAACAGGTGAATTGACGGGTGTTACGTCGTGCCAAGTGATCGTCCGCAACGGCCATTCCGTTCCCAGGATCGAGTTACTGATGGGCTACTTGCAGATCGCTGCCAGGGACCCATGTTACAGGCCATATCCTGCCCCGCTCCCCGGTTTGTTTGCATCTTCACGCGTGGGATCGTACCAGGGGCCACCTTGTGGTTGAAGAAGCAAAGTATTGATTCAGGCGACATGGAATCGCGATCCGCCTCTACCTGTCTATTCGCGCGACCGGACATATCGAGCTAGATGACTTTGACCACTTCACATTTTCTGCTCCAGTCGCATCTATCGGCAATCCATCTCGGCGGGCTTGGTTCGATTCGCTTCGGGACACCAGAATGCAGGGGCTTGAGCTGTCGCATTGCTAGGCCAGGGGTGCCACCGCCATTGACAAGCTGAAAATCCCGGCAACGCCCACAAGACAGCTAGCGGTTGCAGCGATCATGGGGGGTTGACAGAGTGATCTGGCAATGCGCGTTGCAAGGGCAGTCAGCCTCGAGAACGATGGAGTACTCCAGCTTGGGCGACATTTCGGCACTGATGCTGTGAGGTCGATCTGCGCCCCAGCTGGCAATATGATAATATTCGGAAGGATGTACCTCGATTGATCTAGAGAGAGGATCAGCCGCTGGAACTGCCAACAGTGCGATGGGCCGCACCCGTCGCGACACGAATGCAAAGGCGTAGTGACGACAACCCACCACATGTACTTCTCTCGGTTCTAGTGCCCAATACAGAATAAAATCGAGCGATGCCCGATGACAAGCTGGGAGCGGCAGGGGTACACGAAGGGATGATGGACGGTACCGGTTGATCGTGGACAGTTGGTGAACGATGAACACAACGAGTGCGGGTGGGGCCCCCGATCGACTATTGCTGGACCGAGCGTTTTCAGCGTGCGCTTGGCCCCTTGGTCTGGCCAGGGCCCCATTTCCTGCATTCGTACTTTTCACACGATGGCGATTAGTACCGGGCGGACCAGGAACTGCGACAGGCAGAGACAGGGGGCAGGCATCACTCCCACATTCGAACACCATCGTGTGACTACCTTAGGTACCGGGTTTGCTGAGTTGACTGACCGGATTTATCTCGAAGTTAGGTAGGTAGGTACAGTGCATGACGAGGCAACTTTGCGGGCGGACACCTGAAACCATGCAATTAACTCTTGTCCAGTCGCTTTGCCCTCCGCAGCTGATGTTTCCCATCAACAGGATTTACGGCCTTCTCATCCGTCTCGCTTACTTGGTCTGCTGTCTCACGAACATTACATTATTGTCAACATGATACATTTTCAGTAGAGTGTAATCTTAAGGGGAAAGGCGGGCGCCCCAAACTTCATCCCTTGCCCTACCATACTAATGCTGTGTCTGGCCTTCAGCTGACGAGCTACCCCAAATAGCCTTGAGTGTCCAAGGCTCTTGGGTGAGGTGTGATCTCAGACTGAAGGCCGCGATGGCAGGGAAGGTCCCCGCTCGCGACCCCTGTCCCGCGTGCGCTGATCGCCCGACGGGAGGCTTCGCGAGCCAGCCAGCTGGGACTTACGGACCCAGTATGCAGTGTAACAAGATGCCTTAAGGTTCATCCATACCACGCGCTCAACGTTGTGTGCAAGCCCTGGTCATGTTGCATTGAGGCGGCCCCTATGGATGGCCCAGGGCCTACCTTAACTCTGACACATGCTCGCCTTTGACTATGGTCCATCCGCTCCATCCACCACTGTCATCGGTTTTCCTGTTTGCGTACTGGAAAGCAGTTGCTCTCGACAGAGTCGGTTGATGGGGTGCTCGTGCGACCGCCACCTGTAAGAAGGAAAGAAACATCTTGGCAAGAGATACTGAGCCAGCATATAAGTGCTGAGATTGGGGGGACATTGTTTTCTGTCCCACACTGAACCACATAGTACGGCTGATGGACGAGGTGGATTGCCAACGGTTCTCGTAGCAGCCAAGCCGACGCACAGCGACAATTCACTGTCACTGGAGCGCCCGAGAACGTTCGGGACCCACTCTACGCTTCGGTCCCGTTAAACGCCACCAGAAAAAGCAACGTCTGCTAGTGCAGCTAGTCCTTAATCACCTAAGGTAGGTTAGCACACCAATACAGCTCCCCTCAGCCAACTTCCCCCACCTGCTTTCCAACTATCCACTACGCCACACCCTACATTGCTAGGCATCATGCAGTGGAAGTCCAAATGGCTCGATCCAAATCTTGACTAGACCCATCTCGGAGATGTTTCGCGAACCTGACGGGAAAGGGGTCTGAATGAAAGACCGTACTGTCACGCAGGTAGCCCAGGCCCAGTTGCTTGGGTCCGCCCCTAGTTCCAGCCGCGCCACGCGACAGAGCGCCAGCTGAGCATGGCCACCCCTCACACCAATGCAGCGACTTGCCGCCATTAATGGAGCATCCCGGAAGTTGGCCATCCAAGAACTGTGACCGCGTTGGACTGGCACACTGCGACGGTCAACGTGCGTATGTCGAGCCAGTCGTCCCGCTGCACGCGCTATTGGCCCTCGTACGAGCCGTTGTTCTGTGCCATTCTCCTGGGTCGAGCTCGAGTCTAGACCCCGTCGCCTGCCTCGTGTCTTCCCCTTGATCCTCTGCAAGTCGACTCGTGCCGCATGACTCGTGTCTTGGACTGGTCTCGAACCCACAACTGTGCGATGTGGCCTCAATGGTATTTGCAGGCAAGTCGGCTGCCAATGTCATGACCTTGGAAATTCTTTCGGAGAAGCTCGAGTCTGCTAGCGTGGATTCGCGGCATCGCTGGGATCTCACCTCTCACAAACGTGAGGAAAGAGGGTCCGGGGTATTATACATGTGGAAGAAAACAAAAAGACGACGGAAACAAAGGAGAAAAAGACGTCACCGTAACACGAGCCCGAAAAACAGGAAATGCACGCACGCTTCCTTGAGCACAAGGTACCCAGTCCCGTCTCCCATGGCCTATTCGAGCAGGATATACTCGACGTCCAAGAAATGAATGTCCCTTGCCCAAGTCGTACTCAGTTGGTGAAGCTTTACAGATAGATATCACCATCCTCACCGGCGACCCATCTTCGCCACGCCTCCTGGTAAGCCAATTCAAGGTCAGCCACCCACCTTCGGGTATCAAAAAGGGCACAACTCCATTTGCTCCTCCACAGAAGGTATCGTAATTCAGCCAAGCGGCCCGCTCCTTCGCCATACTCTTTACTTCCATTGTACGCCAGACTGCTGGCCAACCGTATCGCCAATGATTCGTATTCTTCGTCGCTCGATGCTATCAGCTCCTGAGCGGCGCGTTGCCCTTCGGGACCCTTGGGTAGGGCGCCCTTGAGGATGGAGGCGGCCATCCGAGAGCACATCTTGAATGAGTAGCGCGGAAATGTCAAGAGTGGAGTGCTTGACCATAACACATCGGCTGCTGTTGTGTGGGCGTTGCACTCTGGTGTGTCGAGGAAGAGGTCGCATACTCTTGCTCGAGCAATATGAAGATGTTTGGGCGCAACATCTGTAAAGATGATGCGGCTGGCTACTTCTGCCCCAGCCCATGCCTTTGCCGTCCTCTTGAGATTTGTCTCGCCTAGTTCAGGGAAGCGGAGCAACCAGAGCACCGCTTTGGGCACACGAGAAAGGATGCGTAGCCAGGAGCGGAAAGTGCTTGGATCAATCTGTCGCCGTTGTCAGTGTTTTCCTTTCTAATGTAGCGGCTTTCGGTGTTCGCACCTTGTAAAGCTGATTGAAATTGCCCAAGATGACAGTGTCGTCTGAAAAACTGGGGAAAAGTTCCTTGCGCATTTGCCATCGACGGCGTTGTTCATCTTCCCATGACAAATGACGCTCTTCCGGACTGCAAGATTGGGCGTGGTCACAGCAGAAAAAGGTGTCGCGACAAAATATGACGTTTTCGGAGTAAATCCAGTCGCCAGTCGCTTCTTCGGTCTGATCTTGAAACACATCTGGAACATGAAGGTTTCCCCTCCATGGACGGAGGGTGCTAGGCGGGATCGCGGTTGTGTCCGCTAAAATGTAATCACACCACTCTGCGCCCAATGTTCCAGCGAAGCCCATAAAAGACATCTGGATGGGAGCTGGCCTCGCGGCGAATATCTCGTTTCGGGCACCTCTAGTATACCCGTTCAGATTAACAAGTATGTGGATTTCATCTGCCACAATCTGTTCAATGATGCGATCCGACGGCCAGCTGCTTGCATCTCGGAAAACAGGTGCCTCGCGCTCAATCTGCAGACGGTGGACGGAGCCATCACTTGCAGTGGTTGCATAGCAGAAGGCTTTGACTTTGGTTTTTTCATGGAAGCCAAACACAGATTGCATGCTAGCGAAATATTTGGTCAGAAAGACGAAATACTTGGTAAATGACAACGTTGCGGGTGAAAAGCTTACAGGTGAGCAAGGGGATGGTTGTTGAAGTCAGACGAAACATAACCAACGTTGAGTTGAGGCGATGGTGGAGGAGGGGGTCGATAGACAGAGCGTGGCAGCCAGGGCGCCCGTAATGTCGAGCATGAGATTCTCAATGCATTGCGCTGCGATATCATGCGTACATCTTGGGCGGTCAAGGGACATGTAAATGTGTGAAATGGGAGAACGGTCGGTGCGGAGGGAACTGTAAGAGCAGGCGGCAACATCGGCCGGTTGTAAGTTGATCTGGTTGTCAGATCGAGGATATATGTGTCGCAGTACCACCGTCGCATAACCGCTTTTGTAGACCGCTCGACAAAGCGCAGAATGCGCGAGCCTTCCCACTGGTTCCGAGACCATGATCGAAGACCAGAAGTGATTTTGAATGCGTCGTCTGCAGCAAAGGCTTGCGCATGTTGCAACTGTGAAACGAAGATCGTAAGATATTCTTCTGGAAGCGCACCGATACCCCAAGTCGATGCCTCCTCGAGTTGCTTCCGCACAATGTCGACCACTTTCTTCGTTAGGCCACTCGCTTGACGCTGGACCGCAGCATCCACGAGCATACCGTCGTCGTCAACATGCCATCGATCGTATTGGTTTTCGGGCAACAGCAAGCCTCCTCGTCCTCTCCAGTCACACACCGAATTCAGTGCCGTGAATAATCCGCACACAGCTTCTGCGAAGTCGGGATTCGAAAGTACTGCCCGCTTGTAGTATGCGATGGCATCGCTAGTGCGGCCTCGATCCTTGACGGCATTGGCCAAGTTTGTCAGGGCGATGTCAAATGTACCATCGCACGAGACAGCTTGTTCGTACATCTGGATAGCCAAATCCAACTGGCCGATATCCTTAAGCAGACTTCCAAGATTGGTGTGGAGGTGAACATGTTTTGGATCTAACGATAGACCGTAATTGTAGTAAGACAGGGCAAGCGCGAGGCCACTCCCCGGCAAGATACCGGGTATGCCCGACGCCTGCAGTCTATTCGATACCATGAATTGTGAGGCCGCGCTGGGGGCTTGTTGCACACTGGCAAGAAGGATGCCGACATTGTTCGCCGTTGAAGGGCTTTCTTGCAAAGAAAGAGACAAATAGTAGAGTGCGAGGATGTCGTTAATGCTGGAGGGACGCTGGTTAAGCACCGAACTACCCGCTGCGCTTGACATGGTGTCCTGGTAGATCTTGGCAAGCGACAACAATGAGTTGCTTGTTGTTTGTATAGCTGCCCGCCTCGGACCTCCGTTTGGTACACAAACAAGGCCTGGCAACTTGCCGCGCCCGGGGAAAACAAGACCGGCAGTATTCCGTGCTCTCTCGGGTGGTAAAAGAAGAGGAGGCAAAGTGTCCGTGTTCGGGATGCCTTGCGTTGCTGGCGCCCATTGACCAGGGGAGAGGACTGACTGGACTCTAAACACTAGGTCCCGGACGCATACAAATTGCCGTCCAGCACTGATTAAGACTGCTTCCTCGAAAGATCGCGATGCCCTCTCAACTTCTTTGAGACTATACAGCATAGTGCCCTTGGCGTGCACGAGGGCAAGCATCCGGCCGTTTTCGGCTGCTGGTATGGCATAACCGCTGGATCCAAACCCTGACGACTTTCCGTCTGCATTCTCAGACAACGTGAGGGAAGATGTTCGGGTCTGGCTGTCGCTGGATTCAGAGTTTCTTGCCAATTTTGAATCGAGTTCTCTTGAATGGCTTGTGACGGCCGGCAGCTTCAAGGACCGCTGGACAAAGTCAATGATCCTGACAGCTTCCCGGCCCCGCTTCTTGTAAAGCAAGCCAACGAGGTGTTCAGCAGCCTCTATGAACTGCGGGCGTATCCTGATAGCTTGGAGCCAAAGCTGTTCGGCTTCTTCCTGTCGGTTCAGGCAGAAGAGCGTCGCTGCCTTGTTCGACATAGCCTCTACATTGCTGCCGAAAAGTTAGCGCCATGCGAATGCAGTCTTTCAGTAGCGATGTACACACTTGGCGTTAAGCTCAATGATTCGACTGAACCAGTCCGAGGCGTCTTCGAAGCGATCAAGCCCATAAAGTAGACACCCTCCAAGCATCATTCCGTCTATCCATTTCCAACTGCTTTGTTCACAGAGGTGTGTCAGAGTCTCTAATGAAGCATTCGCGCTTGACGATGGCGAGCCCTTGTGTATCTCCATAGGCAAAGCATGGCACGGCGTCATGGCTGTTGGAACGACAGGGGCATGCTTAGGACCGGCATCCCACTCAACTGGAGGTGTACCGACGAAAGACATGTTCGCAGGTGGAAACCGCGTCGCCCTCGTTCTCGTATTCATGAAAGATTGCTCGGTGGCGTGGGCTGGCCCCCTTAGAGCTATGTTGGGGTCCCAAGTCTTTGGCTTCGATGGCTTTGGATAGACAAGCAGTTTTGACAGCGCGCTAGAGCTCAGAGACGAAGGGCCAGCCTTCCGCATATGATGAAGTTGCGTTAGCAAATCCATGTAAGCACGATATGCCTGAAGCAATGTCTTCTCTCTAAAATGAGAGGCCGTGGACATATCAGGCTGGAAAGAATTGAATCCTATAGCTAGAGACTCCACAGCAGGATAGGACGTTTGCAACAAGGATGGTGGGTATCCAAGATCATTGCGAGGCGGCATAGATCCAAAGTCTCGGCGTTCGCTGCGATCTGGACGGCTGTCTATATAATCGGAGACATGGGGCGCACCCAGACAGCCAGCTCTGGCGGTCAAGGTGTCGTACGGAGGTTGTGGCTGGGCACTATACCAAGTTGACCACCGTTCCGGTCCATTGCTGATATCAAACGGGGCTCCGTGAAAGCGCGGTGTGCTAGGATCGGCCGAGTAGCGTCTGTGTTGTTGGAAATCGAGCAGAGAAGATCGCGGGCATTGTGTGATAGAAGCCGGCTGTACGGCATCGAAAGTGTGACTGTCGCACACTTGTGAAGTAAGCCCATTCGCGCGCTGGCTCGACGGATAAGCGGAGTATATATTGGGGCCCATTTGCGGCCGGGAGGTTACCGAAGCAGCCGGCGGAGCTGATAGTATCATATGCTTCAACGGTGGAGGGCCTTGGGCAAGCTGCGTTGGAGAGCCATCGTAGCCGGCATACAAGGTCCCGTTTGGAGTCTTGCGTCGAAGCTGGTATTCATTCTGATCAGCGACATAGGATGGAAGCGAGAGTCTGGCTGTGCGATGGTAGATAGGATGGCCGGGCTGCAAATTCCGAATGGGAATGGCTTTTGCGAGTTCTTTCGAAGACCGAAAAGATATGGGGTCTCTTGATGACTGTGGAAGCTGGTCGCCTGAGGGGCTGCTCGGATTTTGGCGGCTGTAATGCGAGGGAACTGCTTGGTGGTTTGATTGGGGATGCACCTTATGGTGCACCTGAACCAGAGGCAACATGGGTTGTGACGGCGGGCTTTGCAGGGAAAGGTTCTGGGTGGACATCGGAATGAGGAAGTCGAATCGAGAAGAAGGAGATGGGCGCGACCAGCAATGTCGTGTTCCCGACTCCGAGCGTTCGTTCTGTCATTGCCTGATGATCAATCAAAGCATGGCTGAAACGGCCGCTGACTGCGTCTAGAGGATCATGTCGGCGGCGGCAACGCCAGCGCCAAGACAACTGCGTGCCAAATAATGTGCGATGACACAGTGACGTTAGGTTTCCGCGATTTGGCTTGATGCTAAGTTTCGGCCTCATATATGGCGATGATGATCTTTGTTGTGCGGTAGCGCGATCAGTATCTATCAAGAAAGCATTCGGCGTTTTCAAGAGGGGGTCGTAAGTAATCAGTTGCTGCAGGTATACTACGGTGACAAAACACTGCCTCCCCAATGTGATATCAACGTGCAGGTGCTATAGCTAAGGTACCAGGTACCTAAGCACGCTACTGCCGTCGGCCACGGGGTGGGGCCAAAGCCTTCCGCTCAGCTTCGTACTTAAGTCAGCAACCTTCAGACTTCGGCTGCGTGGCACGTGGGTCAGTGGTCAATGGCGCACGTCACAATTTGTATTCATCTATGGGGTGATCTACACAAGATTGTGATATGAAGTTGATTGCAGAAAACAACACTGGAAAGAGCGCTACCTGATGAAATCACCTTGCATGGGTTTTACATGAGGTAGTTGACAAGCCAGGCGTCAGAGGTCGTTCCTCGGCGTCCGGTATCGACAGGAATGGTGGGAGAGGAGACCTACATGGTCGAAATGCCGGACAACCATCGCTTGCGAACACACTCAGCAACTCACCGTGACGGGTGGAACAATCCGAGCCTCCAGTCTTCACGCATTGTAGCTCACGACAGGGGGTGGCTATCTATTGAAACAAGAAAGCGGCGGAGGACGCTGGCTACACAAGTTTGGCTGCACGATGCGATGGTTATTCGATGAACATCTTGCCATGCCTTCGTAGCGACTCATGAGCCCAAATCACATCAAAAGTTCTAGGTGTTGCATCAAGTTGCCATCAGACGGCATCAACGCCGTTGGGCTGCGGACCTTGGAAGAAGGGTAGCAACAGTCCGTGATACTGGTTCAGAGCGGATGCGCGATCCCTCCTTTTCGCAGAATCGTGTGCAGGCTGGAAACACATTCCAGTATTGCACAAGTATTCATTGTTGCCCAGATGACGTGCCCTTAAGGCGTCGATAAGCCAAAGGGGCACAGTCAATCGGTTCGCATGTTGTTTCAGAACGTGGTAGCTCATGGGCACCCGGTCATGAAGGGTCGGGAACTTTATTGAGAAGATATGAGTCCGCCGAAGGACTCTTCCGAACCATTCCCCGTAACTCCAGAGTCGTGCGGAATTCATCGTTGGTCAAAGGGGTACTCTTACTCCTCGGGCACTGCAATTATGTTAGTTCGCTGCTCATCCACCGATTGGCTCATTTATGCCGAAAGAGGGACTTACCATCGAGCTCACCAGCCTCAATGGCATCGGTAATTGCCCTTGGGCTCTTACCATCAACCTGGCATCCTACACTGAAGGCAGTGCCCAGAACCTCCTTGACGGTACCCTCGAGAGACTTGGAGAAAGACTTGTGGCGCATTGTGCGGGCGATCTCGACGATCTCGTCGAAGGGAACAGACTTGGAGTGCTTGATGTTCTTCTCCTTCTTGCGATCACGGGGAGGCTCCTTCAGGGCGCGAATGATCAGGGAAGAGGCAGTGGGCACAACAGAGACAGCGGCCTGACGGTTCTGGATAGTGAGCTTGACCGTGACGCGGAGGCCCTTCTGTAGGTAGTCCAATGGATCAGCGGCTATCCTGCAGCGACACGACTGCTCTGCAAGTAAGAATCTAACATACCCAGTCGCCAGTAGCCTTGGCGATATCTTCTCCGACCTTCTTGGGCGAGAGGCCAAGAGGACCGATCTTGGGAGCCAGCGCGGATGAAGCGCCGACCTCACCACCGGTGGCCCGGAGGTGGCTGTATTAATGCCAATGTCAGAAGTTGTGCTGGGTCATTTGCGACTGTCCTGGGTACTAACATGATCTTGATCTCGTTGGGGTCGATCTTGGGAGCTAAACGAGCCCATCGTCAGCTGCTGAACAAGAACCTTGTAACATTGCTGTTCCAATGATGAGGAGAACTTACGCATGATGGCTACTATCGACCTGGTCTGGGGTGATGGAGGAAGGGTAATGAAGAAAAGCCTGAGCGAGTCCTAAAGGAAAAAATTATGACTGAGATCTGCCCTCTTTCTGCTGGGTGGATAGTTGGTGCGTGGAAACCCTAGGAATTTGCGGGGCTCGCCTGGCACATTGACAGGGGGCTCTTGCCAGTTGGGGGGGAGGGGGGGGGGGGACGGCCTGATCACGTGCTAATTGTCCTCACAGCTTGAACTGCCCATGCCCATGTTGCCGCTATTACGGTACTACTTACGCTTCTGGATGAGTGCGTGCTGTATGTTGCATATTACCCACCTAACCAGGTAAATGAGAGTCTTCGGAGCCGCATGATTCACTGGTCATTATCATCACGGACAACATTTTCCCGACATTACAAGGAATGAAATTGGGTGTCTCGATTTATCATCTGTACTGCATGCTGTTCAGATACACATTCATCTCCGCTTGATCGCACAGCCCGAAGCAAATTAGTGCCGCTGACAGCTAATTAGTGCCGCTGACAGCAAGTCTGTAACGATACTTGTTAGGGAGCCGGAAGTCAATCAACTATGGTGGGACTTACTTCATTAGGTGATCCATGAATGTTTGCAGAGAAACATCGTCGGTGAAAATGGTTTGGGCAGTCTGGGCACCAACACCACCGTAGGCTCCAGACGTATGTGTTGTCGAAGGGTTGAGCTTGGACAGCAGGAATCGCGCCTGGGAGCCGCCAGCGTCACAAACGATGAAGCGCGGCAATGGGAATCTGTCCTGGATAAGATCCTGCTTTTTGTCAGTGCCATGGCCTAGTGCGCCCGGGTTGTGTGCATCTGCAAACTTACCCTGGCGTCCTCCTTTGGCTGCTCCAGTAACCCTGCAAAGTTCTCGTACCCTTCCTGATCCTGATAGCCTGCCTTACGCCATTCGGCGACTGTCTCGCCGTGGAAGATGAGGATGTGGAAGAAAGTATCCAGCAAAAGGATGTGGGTTGCCTGGATGGATGTTGAGTCTAAAAGCACAGGCTGGCCCCCGTCTTGGTCAAAGGTGTAAGAGTCCAGGGTGGGCTGAATCATAACCAGTGAGTTGCTGACATCCTCGTGGTTGAGGACGTGGCGGTAAAATGCGGTCTCGTCAGGAGAGTTGTTGAAGACCTGCAGGAATTGACTCCTTCTCAGATGGAACATGAACTGAGGGTATAATGTGAAGTTCTTTTCCAGGCGGAATGAAGAAGGGTCGTCCTTACGATAATCGGCAAAGCGTGAACAAAGCCTGATGAGCATTCTGTCGACCCACCGAAGCACATCCGGGCCATCGTCAACTTCAGATTTGAACACGGCAATTCGGGACATGAGAACCGCCGCAGCTTCTTGATCGAACGACTGCGCAATTGCTGGGTCTCCAGCGGGGCCACTGAGGTTCCGAGCGATGGTCGTTACCCGAAGATGGAACTGACCGGACGCATGCTGGTAGTACGTGAGGAACTGAATCATGGCCTTTTGCGGCGCTTGCTGGTGTTGCGTTGGTCCCCCCTGGCTTGCGATTTCGAAATAGACACCGTAACTCGCACTAGGATCAATTCCGCACATTTTCCAGGAGCACGTGTTGCCAATGCCACACTCAGTCTCACCGACAGATGTCGACTTCTTGTTCAGTGATACTGCATGGCCAATCAGGCCAGTGACCTTGAGTTCCTTGGTGGTGAGAACCTCCAGGACGCCGTTGAAGCCCATGACCAGGTTATCGTCGCCGTCTTTTTCGAACACCCGGTTGAAGGACTGCTTGAACATGGACGAAGTAAAGCTGTCGGTTAGAATCATATGACCTCCCGTGGAATTGCAAAGACCCTTCATCTCAAGCAAGCCGACCTGATCCAGACATCCGGCAAATATGTCGATGATATGGCCGTTGTGTGCGGTCCGCTTCGCTAGTGTATCGTAGAACTACGTAAGAGTCAGCGCTTATTGCAGCAACGATAGCATGAATCCATAGACCACAGATACATACCTTGAGCGCCTTTTTGTAGTACTTGATGTTGTCTCGATCAATGTCGTGGTGAGATCTAATAGGCTCCCTCAGTTCGGGTCCAACTACCATACCGGGTCCCTCCGTCGCTGGACCGCCAGCGAATAGCATGATGCGACCGCCAGCATTTTGGAAAGATGACTCGAGAAGCCCTACAGCCACGCTGAGCGCTACTCCACTGCACCTCAGGCTTCGACGGTCATTCGCAACCGGCCATGGATCCTTCTGTAGCTGCTCGAGGGCTTTCGTGAGCTGAAACTCGCACTGCGAGACAGGTAGCAGAAACCTGGAGGCGGGCCCGCTAGGAGTTGGGCGGCCAGGCTGCTGTGGCATGCCAGGTCTGGCCGCAGGCGACAGCAAACCGAGCATCTCCTGGACTTGTTTTGCTGTATAATCTTTGCTCCCTCGGAAAACATACGATTTGGCACATTCATTGTAGCCGATCTCATGGACTTGGGCCTGCATACACGTCAGTATAATACCTTATTGTCATGCATATTGAATGCAGCGATTGACTGCCTACCATAGTGCCATAGGTAATCAAGCCAACCAGCGCATTCTGAGGCAGCTCTGCTAGACTCATAACAAGTGACTCCTTCAGGGCAGAGAGACTGTCGTCTTCTTGACATGTGTCAACAACATAGAGAAAAATTGGAGGGCTCGGGGCAGGGCGTGAGAGCCTGTACTCGATCGTGGTGTTCGAGGGATGGAGCTCGGGAGGTATCGCGTTCTGTGTAATGTCCTTATAGTGAGGTGGGAGGGGGTTGCGCGACAGGCAGAACGGGCAGATCCATAGTCGAGCTCGAACATCGACAGAGCTAGGGACGCCACTTCAGCCATTTTGGTCTTCTGAAACTGGGCCAAAAACCTACCAGAACGGATTCAAAACGGAGCGGCAAGGCTGCTTGCAAGTGACAGGCTCAAAATGCAGCAAAGGCGTCTCTGGTTTTTCCTTGAGTGGTGTATAGAGAGCTCCAATGGGTACCACGAGTCTAGATGCCTCCTATTGCACTTCTTAGAGCACATATTACTAGCGGACGTCATCACATGGAGGACACTAACCATGCGTGTGCTTGGGAGGACGTTCCAGCTAAGCCTCACCCCATCGCGGTCTTCTACCTCGCTCCATTGTTCTTTGAGTGTGTCGTAATCCATGGTGGACATCAAGAAAGGCGCACTTGGAAATGCCGTGATTGACTTGATGGGTAGGTTGTCAACCCTTCGTGTTGTGGTGGAGTATCGTTGATACCCAGAAGGAAGGCTCGAAGGAGATGGGGATGTCCTGCGGCAGCAAGCACTTGAACCACGACTTCGTATTGGACTGAGGACGAAGGGGTCGAGAACGGTTGCAACCTTGCCTAGGTAGGTGTGAAGATGGAATGGTCAATAACCATAGTTCAGGACAGCTGTACTTAGCCCCACATATGGGAGCTCTCACATCGGGTGGCCCAAGCTCACACAAAGTCAGAAAACGGTAGTAGTTGCATGAGTAACATATACCTATAATCGGGTAGCCCGTATGTGCACTATAGACTATCCCTTTATACCTGAGTTCGGTCCTAATATCAAATTATATTCCTAGAATTTATAAGCTAAAATAGTGGAATAATATCTTATAACTAAATTATTACTATAAGCCTATAAAATAAAATAAACCCTTATTATAAGGAGTTAAGTATTAGGAACTTAACCCTGAAATATACTATTATGGATATTTAATAATAGGCCTAATTTTAAAAGAGAAATCGAGGCTATACTTTATAGCTTTAATAAATTAAAGTTAATATAATAGCTTATTTATTAAGAGGGCTTTACTACTTATATAAACCCTAATCTAGTACTTCCACTATATTTATAAGCTCTAAATAGGTAGAGTATCTAATATGAGGCTTATAATACTTAATTCTTAATTATCTAATACTATCTCTAAGTTACTACTACCTATATAAGTTAGATATACCTATCTACTTTAGCGATTATATAAGCTATAGTTTATATACTCCTAAGAGTAGTAGATCCTAGATATCCTAGATATCCTAGATATTACTATCCTAATTATAGGGTTCCCTAATATTAATTTAATACTAGCTCTTCTTTTCTTTATAAATAGAATAGCTATAAGAACTAATATTAGGAGCTATTGCTAAGGTTAATAGCCGCTTTAAGCGCTTATAATTCTCTAGTCTCTAGTACATTAGATCTACTCGTCTAGCCTTAAAGTAAATAACCTAATAATAGGAAATAGTAAGAAGTAATAAAAAGTAATAGGAAATAATAAGGAAAAATATAGCTTAAATCCCCTATTCCTATAAATTATAAGGAGTTAGACGTTAGGAACCTAACCCCTATTCATATTATCGTAGATAATTCAGCGATAAGCCTAAGTTAAAAGGAGAAATCGAGGCTATACTCGATAGCCTCGATAAATTAAAGTTAATATAATAGCTTACTAATTATTCGCTAATCTAATTACTTTCCTTAATCTAAGCCCTTAGCTTAATACCTTTATATTCTTTAACTTCTATAATCTATAATTAGATTAAGCTAAGTAATAGATTAATTAAAGTATATTAGAATTTAAAAACGAACTATTTATTATAATAGATATTACTTTAAAAATAAATTAATAAGAATATTATTAAAATTATCGAGGAATAGCTATAATAAGAAGATTACGCTTAAATTAAGATCTTCTTTAGAAAACTATTATTAAAGTATTAATAAATAAATAATTTAAATTAAATTATAAATATAAGTCCTTTAAGCTTTAATCTATAAACTCTATAAATAAAGATATAAGAATAACCTCTTAATTTAATATTTTATTAAATATATTTTTATTATAAAGAATTATAATAAATTATTTATTTATAATTATAAAATATTCGAAGAGGATATTATTATTATTTAAATTAATAATTAATTTATTATAATTAAGGCTAGAAACGCTTTCTAATTTAATATAAATATAGCGTAAATCGTAAAATAATTAATAATAAAATTTATTTATATTTTATAAATAATATAATAAAATTATATTTAGAACCTTAAAATAATCTATAAAGAAGACTTTAATAAAGATAATATAAATATTTATTAAAAAGATTTCTAAAATCTTATAAAATAAGAATATTTATTAAAAGATTTATAAAACTTAATTTATTAAGAAGAATTATATTTATTCTATTTTTAAGGAAATAAAGATATTTCCTTTTTTATCTTCTTTAATTATTAAGAGAATATTTATTAATTATTTAATAAAAGTATAGATTATAATAAAGAATATATTTTTAAATATTTCTAATAATTCCTTTATTTTATAAAGAATAAATTAATAGAATATTATATTTTTATTAAGGATATTAAAATAATTATATATAAAGCTTAATAAATATAAAATATTAATAAATTATAGAATAAATAATAAGAAAATAAGAAATAAATTTATTCTTAATTAACTTAAAGTAAACTTTATAATACTACCTTTAATTATAAAGCCTTAAAGAGAGAAGCTTTATAGGATTAATCGTTAATAAAGCGAGGTCGTTCCTTTTATTATAATAGAAATATTATATTAAAATAAATAAGAAACTTAAACGCTTATTCTATAAGAATATTATTAAATAATTAAAATATTACCTTTATATTATTATTTAATATATATTTCTATTATAATAAGCTAAGGTATTAAATATAGAATTATATTTAGCTTAAACTATAAAAGCTAAAAGTTATAATTATTAATATTTAATTATTTAAATTTAAGGGTATTTAGATAATAGAACTTTTAGAAAACGATTTAATATAAATTTTAATTTAAAGAGTATTATATTAAAAATAAATATTAGGAAAATGATAAAAGTATTAACGATTATTATTTAATAAAGTA